CGACGCCGACCGGGCCTCGCAACCGGGGTGCCCAGTGGCACTGGCACCCCGCCGTCCGCTGGCACCCTGCCGTCAGGCAGCTGTGGGAGAGACAGTAGTATGTATCCTCGTTTCACTTGAGACTTAATCACTGTAGCACTTCCATCCTTCGAGCAAGCAAGCATCTCCACATTCCACAGACCATGAGAGGCAACGGATCGAGGATCGAGCCTTTGGAGAAAGAGACAGCCACACGGAGACAGCACCGTCGATCGAGTATCTCCCCGGTCCGAGGCCATGCAGAGGCAATGATGGAAGACCTGAAGAACCAGTTGAAGAATCAGACTCCTCGAGCAGATCATATTCGTTGAATGTTTCTAAATGCAGAAGACTTGCAGCGGCAATGGATAAAAAATTTGCTTCGTCAAGCAAAGACGGACGTTTCTGGAGACAGGCATCAGCTACTGGGCAGCTCCAATCGAGGAAGTGCACTCGGTGCCATCGATCGTGCAACCAGTCCCGTGGCCAGAACTCCAATGCCTGCAGAGAGCCATCTCGATGAAGGACATCTCCGGAAGCCAGACGAGCTTCGATCACACCAGACTTTTTCCACTGCTGAACCGTGGCTCCTGGCTTCGAGCCGATAGCAGGTCACTCAAGGGTACAAGAGCAATCCAATGCCTGGTTTCCATGCAATAGAGACGCCTGTTCTGAGCCTGGACCACATTAATGTACCAGCATCTGACTGCTTCATCGCTCGACCCATCCACTCTCTCCGGAGTCATCGTCTGTCCAAGCGGTCCCTCAATGGGCCAGTCGGAATTTCGGGAAGGCATTGATGGCAGTGCAAGTAAGGCAAAGCTACCACTGTCTCTTACTGCTGGCCCTCAGCGCCTTCTGACTGCCAAAAGCCAACAACTGGGAGCAAGGCATGCCACGAAGCAATACTGGCTCCTCGGAAGCAGCCTCAACTCCAGCACATAGTCGGTTCGCCATGCTATGATCCGACACTGGTTCCACTCCTAGGTGCTTGTCACAGCCAATGACCTGCAGCAAGCCATGGTCGCGAGTCACAATCGGAATCTGGAAGCACAGCCAGCCGTCACATTGATTCAGACCCGGCTAGATGTCTCTCGTCGATCTCTCGAGCTCTGCATGCGTCTCTGAGCCAACTTGGAAAGAGAAGTCATGGCGATGGTCGGCAGTAGTTGGGAGACAGCCTTGTACTTGAGGGAGAGGAAGCCAGCCTGCCTCGATCTTCCTTGCTGCACTCATACTCCTCGACGCTCTGCTATTTCATCGATTGACGTCGTGGCTCCATGACACCAACACGAATCTTTACAGCTACGTCCGGATGTCGCGAATCCCTGGCATGTCGTATGCTTCTTCTCTATCGGCAAATGTTCTCGGCAGACCACAGGTCGTCTCAGCAGGCGACGAAGCTACGATGAAGCACCGCAGAGCTTCCAGAGGGCACTGGAAGAGCGTATTGTTCTTCTCGAAAGATGTCGTCTTCAGGTCTCGAAATCCAGACGTCCCAGATCCCGGAAAAGGCTCACAGCCAGCTCGACGTCTCAACGACCAGCGTATCATCGCCCCTCCTCTCTGCCCTCTCCTGGACTGGACTGGACTGGACAAAGCCAAAGTACTGCCGATGGATCATTGATGGACTTCGGTTCTGGTCGGAGATGCTTGCTTGCTCGAATCCTCCTTCCCACTCTACGCGAGAAAACACGCTAGCTGCCTTGGCACGAAGCTTAAATCGCGTGACACGTCTTCCATTCACTTGCCCCGCTTTGAAAGTTCAACCGACTGACTTGACATGTTCTGCAGAGTACTTACCCTTCCCCTCCTTCACCAACACTTGCACTTCCATCTCCCTCGCCATGTCGTCGCGCCCGAGCCTCTTCTCCGCCCAGCCGGACGCACAGCGCGCGCACTTCAGCGATCTCGACGACAGCGGCGATGAGCGGAAGAAGAAGCGAATCAAGAAAGCTCCCGCCTCCACCGCACCTCCACCGCCGAAATCCGCTCGCCGCAAGACAGCATCGCTCGTAGGGAAGCGAAGATTGCAGTCCACCCGCCGCCCGCGCCAGCTCTTCGATGAGACCGACGACGAAGACGAGAGGCCTGAGGACCTGCTGCCCGACTATCTCAAAAAGCGGCGCAACGACATGGCCATCCAGCACAAAGACGGCGGCGACATGGGGCTGCGATTGCCTCCGAAACACGACGAAACTGACACTGCTCCAGATGAGCGTCTCGAGGCCAAACCGAGCCTGCCGGGCGTCACGCCTCCCCAGCCATTCGAAAAAATCAGGCTCGGCAAACAGACACACATCCCCGCCTCGATCGCCCAATATTTAAAACCATACCAGATCGACGGAGTGAAGTGGCTTTACAAAAAATTCGAAAATCAAGAAGGCGCGCTTCTCGGCGACGATATGGGTCTCGGAAAGACCATACAGGTCATTTCCTTTCTCACAGCCGCCTTCGGCAAAACCGGAGACGAACGAGACAGCAAGAGGATGAGAAAATTCAGAAAAAAATCCCCGGGTGGGTGGTACCCACGCGTGCTCATTGTGTGCCCGGGCACACTCATTGAAAACTGGAAGGCAGAGTTCGACCGCTGGGGCTACTGGCTCATCTACACATACCACGGCAACGAGAAGGAAGCCGCCCTGGCAGCAGCAGAAGCCGGAATGCTGGAGATAATGATCACAACATACGACACGTACAAGCGGGATGAAAGCGCCATCAACTGCGTGCCCTGGGACTGTGTGATCGCAGACGAGTGCCACACCATCAAAGAGCGCACATCACAAAACACCAAAGCGATGAGCAACATCAACGCCCTCTGCCGTATTGGACTGAGCGGCACCGCAATACAAAACAAGTACGAAGAGCTGTGGACACTTCTCAATTGGGCAAATCCTGGCTGCGTCAGCTCAGTCGGAAACTGGAAGAGCACGATATGCGTACCACTGAAGATGGGCCAAAGCCACGATGCGACCCTATCGCAACTCGCCAAAGCTCGACGCATAGCAACACAGCTCTCGCAAAACCTCCTTCCCAACTTCTTTAAGCGCCGCACCAAGGCCTTGATCGCACACCAGCTGCCCAAAAAGAGCGACCGCGTTGTATTCTGCCCTCTCACCGAAACACAAGTCACTGCCTACCAGAACTTCACCGACTCCGAGCTTGTGCATGCCATTCGAGACGCCTCTGAACCATGCTTTTGTGGCTCGGGCAAGAAGCAAGGCTGGTGCTGCAGAAGATATATCGAAGGCTTCGGCGAGTGGCAACACCATGTCTTCCCAGCGCTTGTCACATTACAGAAGCTTGCGAACCACGTTGCATTGATGGTACCAAAGGCCGAGTCTGATGCTGAGCGACTCGAAAAGGACTTGGAGAAGCTTAAGATTGCACTCCCGGACAGTTGGGAGGAATGGTACAGTAACAGAGAAAATCTGGCGTACCTGGCAAAGCCCGAGTTCTGCGGAAAGTGGAACGTCCTGAAGAAGTTGATGAAGTTATGGTACGAGAACGGCGACAAGGTTCTCATCTTCTCTCATTCGGTCAGACTGCTTCGAATGCTGGATCTCTTACTGAAGTTCAAGACCGACTACAACCTCTGCTTCTTGAACGGCAGCATGTCCTACGCAGAACGACAAAAGGCAGTAGATGATTTCAACTCCGACCCAAGCCAATTCGCATTCCTCATCTCAACCAAGGCTGGAGGCGTCGGACTGAATATCACGAGCGCGAACAAGGTCGTTGTCGTTGACCCGAACTGGAACCCTGCGTACGACCTTCAAGCCCAAGACAGAGCATACCGTATCGGTCAGACCCGCGATGTCGAAGTCTTCCGCCTTGTCTCCGCCGGCACCGTAGAGGAGATTGTATACGCACGCCAGATCTACAAGCAGCAACAAGCCGCCATCGGGTACAATGCTTCCATCGAGCGCCGCTACTTCAAGGGCGTCCAAGACCAGAAAGACCAGAAAGGCGAGATCTTCGGCCTAGCAAACCTCTTCGCCCCAAATCAGACTAATGTTGTGCTCCGAGACATCGTCAACAAGACAAACATCGCCGAAAGCAGAGCAGGCGTCGAAGTCGCTGGGCTAGACCTTGAAGTCAGCCAAGAAGATGAAGGAGACGAACTCAACCCAGACCAAGAAGACGCCGCGATCCACGCCCTCGCTGCCGAAATCATTGACGAACCAGGCCGAAAGCGCAAACTTGCGCAAGAGACGGCGAAGAAGCGTGACCCCGTACAAGCGATTCTGGCTTCGGCTGGCGTTGCGTATACCCATGAGAACGCGGAGGTTATTGGCACGAGTAAGATCGAGACGAAGCTGTCGAGCAGAGCACAGAAAGGCGCGGATGACCCAGACTACATCAACGAATTCGCTTTCGCTCGCTCTCAGCATTCACAGACCACGGTGCCGGCGGATAGGGATATGAGAAATGACAGAGTTTACGAGGAAAACGGAGATGGCGAGGTGGACACAAGTGAGGAGGTCAAAGTGAAGTATCGGTTCCAGCCGCCGGAGGAAGTGAGACGGCGTCAGTTTTGCAGCATGGCCGCTCAGTTCGGGTACGATGACGTCGCGGAGTTTGCGCTGGTGGTGGAGGGGTGGACGCAGCAGCAGAGACGGGACTGCCTGGAGACTTTCTACAGGCAGAGGAAAAGTTTAGTTGTTTAGTGTTTTTTGAGCGAGCATGTGATACCCCTCAGTTGAAACCCTCAGTTGGGTGAATGAATGAATGATTGTGACGTCAAATTGTGCTCTTCTCTTCTCTTTCTCTTGCGGAATAGCGCCTTGAAAGCTCCTAGGTGTGGAAATAGACGCGGAGTCGTGGGTTGCTGTCGAATGGAGACATTGAGAAGCATACCTCAGTTGAACAAGTGAATAAACAGCCACGACGTTATGTAGTGCACCTTAACTAGCTTTCTCTGAAATCGAAGAACTTTTGAAAGGCAACGAGGGTAGAGATGGGTGTGAAATTGGTAATTCAGCATCGGCGGAGAGGTACATGAATCTTGGACATAGTGGTTTGGAGCACTGCCGATTTCCTGTGTCGCTCTGCTGGACTGTTAGGGTCGAAACCAATCAGCGTGGACATGAAAAGAAATTCATGATTGTTGATTGATTGAGACGTGTGAGAAAGTCCTCGACTTAGCACTTGGGTTATGGCTGTCTTTTTTTTGTTGCTCTGATGGGGGAGAGCCTGCAGAGCCAACGGGCGTCAACGGGGGCGAGAACTTGATATGCTGGGTGAGAAGAGATGTTTGGGTCAGTTCTGTCTTAGTCGTTTGCGGCATGGCTATCCAACGAGGTTCTCCGTTTGAAGGTAACTATGAGAGGCAACATGGGTGGAGACGAAGCAGGTTCCGCTTAAGGAAAATGAATAGAGTGAGGCTGGATTGTGTTGTTTCCACTGCTCATTGCATGAGCTTTCGGGTATTTTGCTCTGCTGAATTCGTGATATGAAAGGCAATCTGGGTAAATACGGGCGAGTTTTGACTTCCTAGGACCAGCTGGAAGCACATGAGGAGGTCCAAAATGGTGTTGTGCTGTGAAGCTTGTCCGACGGCTCTCTCCGCCAAAATTGCGGCCAGAAAGGCATCAAGAGTGCAGATGAGGAGCGACTCTCCAAGCACAGTGCCTGGAGCGAACGAAAATCAACGATCGATGTCAAGACCAGAGTGCAGTTTCACAGAAAGCATCTGCGACGTCTCACAAGGTTCCTCCCGCTCCAACGGCCCGCTCGCCATCATTCCCGGCCAGCCGCCAGCCGCAGCCAAATCTCCGAGTGGACTCCACTCCTCCCTTTCCCAAACAGCAACGAAAGCAGCACCAAGACCCTCTTCCAGACAATTCATTCGCTGCTCCTCGTCCCAAGCAAACGCGAAGCCGGCTTGGACAATCTCTTCTATGCGTCTTGTCACGCCCCAACAGTGGATTTCATGCAAGCTTCCATCTATTCTAGCGCCTCACCTGCTCCGGTTTGTGCTTTCTTTAACGCGCATCGTCCCTATTCGTATCAAGTCTGCGGCCAACGGGAATGCTTCCTCGAGCGCCACCGTGTGACTGCCTTTGCAAAAGAGTTGCAGCGGACTTGCGTGTGTCTCCTTCCTATTCGAAGGAAGCGCTACTTACTCCCAGCTGTTCCAGACCATTCTGCTGCTGCTGTCGCTGATCATTCAAGTTCTCTATTGTCGTTTTGTGTGTGAAGGCTTGCATTCCTGTCGGTTCTGCACTGCTCAATTCTCCCTTCTCTGTTCTGCTTGATCGTTTCTACTACTGCCGTTTACTACTGTCGTTACAGGCTCATACATCTTTGGTCTCTGCTTCTCCATTGGTCAAGACACCGTTCTTCACGAAACAAATATTGCAGTTCTGAGTGTTATACATCAAGCCACCGAGTTTCAAGAGAATACAATAAGCGAGGTCCCATCAAGATCGAATCCTTTTTCGCACATTCCAGAGATTCTGCATACCGCCATCTGAGTCCCACCAAAGAGAACTGCAAAATATTGTGTTGTCGCCAAAACACACCAGGCCAGCAACGGACGTACACAGAGACGACGAAAGCGACACATACAAGCAGAGCGTAACGAAATAGCTCCCTACGAACAAGACTCTCCAAGGCCATTTTCCGCAGGGCGCCGCCCAAGCCTCAGCCCGCGATCAACAACAAACTGCGCACAACGACTCCGCATTTCAGAGACCAGATATGGCCGTCCCCCGGGATCCCGCATTCTGGAAACGCTTCTCCGTAGCCGTACACCAAGATGAAGAAGCACAAGCCGTGGCATCAGCACAAGATCCCGCTTCCAAGCAACAAGCACAGTAAGCCAGCACCCTCCCTTCACATATCAGCACATCGATACTGACCTAAGGCAGATCCACCTGGCTCGCTCGTCAACAACGCAAATCCTCACGACGAACATGGTTCTGCTATGGGTTTTGGCTAATATTTGCAATATTCGTGGCGGCGATAGTGATGGTGGTGATTTGGCTGCTGAAGAGGAAACAAGAAGAGGACGTGGATTGAATTATTTTCGCTCAATTCTTTTGGATAGTCTACAGTGAATGCCTATGTTACATCCTGCATGCAGTCTCATATTGCATGTTCGGTAGTGCGATGGCCTGTCTCCCTTGAGGTCAATCGCTCTGGAAGTCTCTCTGATATCGTGCCCTCACGTTGTGGCACGAGATGACTGAGCCGCAGAGGCGGTCTCGTCAGGACTTCGTATGCGCCACCAGAATGCGCCCAAGCGAAGACCTGGCGCGGTCTCAATGTGCGGATCTCAGGCAGCTGTAATGCTCCTCATGCTCGCTCCTCTCCTCCAGCTCCGCCGACGCCGCTGCAGGCTGCTCTTCTCCTTCAGATTTCCGCCAACTCCTCTGTAGCCACCTAATATCTCGGCCTCGATGGCTCCGGCGATGGACTCCTCGTAACAGACCTCTCATCCCTACCCCTCTCCCTCAACCACTTCTTCGTCGCCAACTCCAGCTCCCTCTCCAACTCCGGACTCGGCTCCTTCCGATGAATGAAATTGCAAAACCCCCCTCTCACACACCCCTCTCCCGAATTGAGCCTACAACAAGCCTCCCTAAAATCCGTCACAGGACTCAATTCGCAATAAATCGGCCTCGCCGCATACCACCGACTATTCAACGCATCGCAAGCCTTCTGCGCCGAATCCTCATACTTGAACCGCGCATACACATTCCCGATCAAATGATCATTATTGTTATCGCAGACTACCACCTCTTCGATTTCGCCGTATTTGCACATCTCGCACCAGAAATCTTCGTAGAAGGCATCGAAGTGGTTTTGGAGTTGCTGCGGGTTCATGCGCGATTTGTTGTCGTAGGCGGGGTTTTGGTAGAGGTTGGGGAGGAGGATCGTTTGCGAGTAGCTGGGTTTGACGTGTTTGCGCGAGCAGCGGTCGCCGTGGCGGCAGGCGCCGATTTTGTAGTAGAAACTGCAGTTGACTTTGTCTTGTTCTGTGCCGAAGATGGAGGCGAGATAGTTCGCCATGATGGGCGATGGCGGAGACGATCGCGATGTGTTTCTCGATTTGTGAAGCGTGTGTCAAGGGCGTGTTCCTGAGCGCGGAGGTGGTGATGGTGATGGCGCGGTCGTTGTCGCGCAGAGTCGGCGAGCTCAAGGTCGCGAAATCGATGGCCCCGAGTCGGTTAGTCAGCCGACTGTTCGCCTCAGGCCAGAACCTTCCACGGCACAATCGCACACTCCGACAAGATACTCCAAGCTCATGGTGAATTTGTGGCTGCACGAAGCCTAGTGTATCATGCACGGCAGAAAATCAAGCTGAATGGGTAGCCTACAGCCTTACACACTTCGTAGTAGACTCCAAGTATCATCTTCAAACGAAAGATATTATCTATTCGATTCTGCTGTCAATCCTCAGACTCTTCCAGTCCTCGAGGTCTCTGTTTCCTTACACTTGCTCATATTCCATGATGAAAACAAGAACAGAGAAACAACGAACGCCAACGCTAATGCCAATAATCATCTCACCAAAGTCCCGTGAAGGCCTGTTCCGAGCTTCGTAAATATGCAGCACTGTCGTCTCGGGCTGCCGGAATGCCGTGTCTTGGACATTGTGAGCCAAGAAGATCTCGTCAGATGGCCCAGCGGTGGACTGAACGGCCAATGGACCTGAAGCATCTCGTTCGCGGGAATTTCTCACGCGCTAGAAAGGCTTCCTCAAGCTTGAAGGCCTCTTGACTCAGGCACTTGCCAGCCGCGCCAATCCATGGGCCCATTGGACGTATCAACGGCTCCTCCTCGATCTGCCTCTAGATCTGCTGCCTCTCGGTCTGCCTCGCGGGCTCCCTCGAATTCCGCGATGACCACGTCCGCCCCTCTCCTAAGCCGCGGGCGGGGCATCACTCGTGGCGATCTGTGTTGTCGCTTCAGCTTTTGCGTCGTCAGCTTCTCGCTCCTGCTTCGCTTCCTCCTTCTCGGCCAGCTTCTCCGGCTCCGGCGCATCGTCCTTCATCTCGACATCTTCCTTTTCGTCCCCTGAGGTATCCGCTGTAATGGGCGCACCAGTCGCAGCAGCAGGTGAGCGGGGAGGAGTCGTGACTTGTGGGACGGCAGCACTGACAGCGGCAGGAGCAGGAGGAGCGTCGGCCATTTCATCGTCCGCTTCATCTCCAGCGTCCTCTGCGCTGACTTCGGATTGATTTGACGTCTGCTCGACTTTGGGCTGTGGTGCGCTGGTGAGTGCGCTGGTGAGTGCGCCTGGTGTAGGAGATTTGGCCTTGTCAGCGAGGATTGCTTCTGCAACAGTGGCATTTGCCGCCGCGACATCAGCGGCGCCGTCGACCTGCATGGCTTCTTCAGCACCATCTTCCTCGTCGTTGCCGTCTCCGTTGACACTGCGCGCATCATCATCTGCGGGTGTGTTGGCGCCGCTGTCGTCTACCGGAGCATGCACGTTCTGTGTATCCATGATGCCGATTCTCCTCGCAGCGGGAGGCTTGCGAAGGCCATTTGCGAAGTTCAGGTCCTCGTCTTCCGAGTCTTCATCGTCCAGATCGTTTGTGGTGTGCTTGTCGTATGCGCGTTGATTCCATCTGCGATCCTTGCTCTCCTCGGCGTCTGCTTCTTCGTCGTCCTCTCGTGCTTCTCGCTCATCAAATGTCTCGGGCTCCCCGTCGGGCCCGGAATTGTGCATGCCAAGGGGCTCTCGAGGTACGTCGTGCATTTGCACACTGGGCGCATGCTGTGTTGTGCGCTTCAGGTTCTCAAGTACTTGCTGCTTGATCTTCTCAAGATACTCGTGCGAATTGGCATTGTCCATGTTACTAGGCTTGACGTCCAGCTCAAAATCCGGACTATAATACTCGTAGTAGTCCGTGAACGGAAGGTCAGGCCCCATCTCGACACCCACCAGTTGTCCAGTCTCGTAAGCCCACGTCCGTGCGACATTGCGCATCGTGTAACCACCTCCACCAAGGACGAGTGTGGGGAGGTTGAAACTCTTGACGAAGTTGACACAGTTTGCATGTCCTCGCATGCTCAAGTTGAAGCAACCTAGCCTGTCGCCGGACAAGGAGTCACCGCCACACTGAAGGACAACGGCAGTCGGTCTGTAGTATTCCATTACCCAGCCAATGGTTGGCTCAAAGATGCCCTTGTAGCTCGTGTCGTCAATACCATCTCGAAGCGGGAAATTGACCGAGTAGTGCTTGCCCTGGCCTACACCAATGTCCCTAAGTTCGCCGGTACCAGGGAAGTATTCGCCGTACTTGTGGAAAGAGACCGTCATTACACGATCGGTGGAGTAGAAGGCTTCTTCGACACCGTCGCCGTGATGCACGTCGATATCGATGTATAGAACGCGCTCGTGAAATCGCAGGAGTTCGAGAATTCCGAGGACAATGTCTGCAGGAAGTCAGCATATCGTCGCTTATGTGGTTAGACAATCTCCACTCACCATTCACGTAGCAAAAGCCCGAAGCTTCACTCTTCTTGGCGTGATGCAGACCTCCAGCCCAGTTGACAGCGACATCGCACTTCTGCCGATTCAATCGTGCAGCACCCTCCATGCTTCCTCCTGCACTGATGCCACAGAATTCGAACAAGCCATCGAAAACGGGACAGTCGTCGCCCACATTGTATCGGCCTTGTTCTTTCATGAAGTTGTCCATGTTGTCGGGGGTGACGCGTTGCAGGAAGTCGACATACTCGTCGGTATGAAATTGGGTCATCTCGTACTTGCTCGCGGGCTTCGCACGATAGATCTCCAATTTCTTATACAGCCCGTAGTTCATAATCAACGAGTGTGCCATTCGGATACGATGCGGTTTCATGGGATGACCGGCATTGTAAGCGTAGTTGCCGACGTCGCTGTCGTAGAAGTATGCGACTTTCTTGGGCTGCGAGGGAGCAGCATTTGTTCCAGTGCCAGGCGCGTCCAGAGGTGTATACCCTCCTGCGCCGATAGGCATGGCTGCGGTGCGCTAGACGCGGAGGACCAGTTCGATGGGTATGTTTTCGTCGCGGATCGTCGTAGCTGGTGGTGCGTTGGGTATTTCTGCGCAGTAAATGGGTCTGGGAGTGTTGTGTCGAGGTCGATGTTCGTGGGAGCATGCGATAGATGCTTGGGCGAGCTATGTAATATGCAGGTGCAGCCGGGGAAGGTTAGCCGAGGCCGATCTCCGAAGCTCTCACTGCTGCCACTGCTGCTGCTGGTGATGTCGCGTCGTCCATCTGCCTGCGAACAACTCGCCAAACATCTCCACTACGCCGCCATCACCGCCATCCTCGTCCACTCCGCTCCTCCATCACTGATAATCCTGTCCCGATCAGCCAATAAGTCCAAGCACACCGACTGCAGCTGAAGGCCCGCCACCGCAACTGTTTCCACCCGTGCGCCAGCACTTCACTACTCTCGCACACTCCCCACCATGGACCGGTTGTCGCGCATGCTCGCCGCTGCCCAGGGCATGGGCGGCGGTGGCGGAGGTCCCGCCCAAGATACTAACATCATCGACAATGCGGAGACGGTCTACATTTCATCACTGGCGCTGCTCAAGATGCTGCGACACGGGCGGGCAGGTGTTCCTATGGAAGTCATGGGCCTGATGCTAGGAGAGTTCGTCGACGACTACACAGTACGCGTGGTGGATGTCTTCGCCATGCCGCAGTCAGGAACTGGCGTGTCGGTCGAGGCGGTCGATCCCGTCTTCCAGACCAAGATGATGGACATGTTGCGCCAGACGGGGAGGTGCGTAGTTCAGCACATGCCATTCAGACATGCTCTTTCACTGACACTTCACTCACAGACCTGAAACCGTCGTCGGTTGGTACCACTCACATCCTGGCTTCGGCTGCTGGCTTTCGTCCGTCGATATCAACACACAGCAATCCTTCGAACAACTCACGCCTCGCGCCGTCGCCGTTGTCATCGACCCCATTCAGTCCGTCAAAGGCAAAGTCGTCATCGATGCCTTCCGCCTCATCAACCCACAAACCCTCATGCTTGGGCAAGAGCCTCGCCAAACCACCTCCAACTTGGGTCACCTGAACAAACCCTCCATTCAAGCCCTTATCCACGGCTTGAACCGCCACTACTACAGCATCGGCATTGGCTATCGCAAGACTGCCCTCGAAGAAGCCATGCTCATGAACCTGCACAAGACCGTCTGGACGGAAGCTCTCACCATGCCCGATTTCGCGGCGGAAGGCACACGCAACGAGGCGAATCTGAAGAAATTGGTTTCGCTTGCTGAAGGCTACGAAAAGCGTGTCAAGGAAGAGACGGAGTTGACTAAGGATCAACTACGGACGCGGTACGTGGGTAAGGTGGATCCGAAGAAGCACATCGAGACAGTTGGGCAAGAGTTGATTGAGGACAACATTGTGTCGGTGAGTCGACAGATGATCGACAAGGAAGCCAGCGTGCCAAATGCCACAGCAGAGGGCTTAGGCAGCGCGAGGCTGAATGGTGCCAAGGGCGCAAATGGCGCGAACGGGAGTGGTCAGGCGGACGGAGGCATGGAAGTAGATGAGGATTTGTGAGAGCATCGCGAAGAGAATTCACGCTGTACTATACGCATAGCTCAGGCGCTTCGAGTCATTGCATGAGAAGAAGAGACTCTTCCTCTGCTCTGGGGATACAGCTCCAGATAGTTCTTCGACTGCCGTCGAAACGAGTATGAATTAACGTTACACGGCAATCGAACACAGTGTTCACGCGCGATGTTTGACATGTCAATAATGAGAACGAGAGAAAGACCGCTGCGAGGACAATTACTTCAATTTGCATTGACTGAATGCGACTTTCTTCGCTTCTATCTATCAATCACGATCAGATCCTGCTGATATTTCGTGAACTGTGGGGGTATCTTTCTAGATCTGGTGTGGTGCGCAAGAAGAACAAAATGCCTCCAGCCCCCAAATGCAAACACCATGCCATGCCACGCCATGCTCCAAGACTCTCAAGATGCAATTTTTGATGCGAAAACGCTAAGAACAAAACAGAACTTTCAATTTTTCTGGGATCAACAAGTTCTCAACTCATTCAGTTCATTCATTCCAAGATCTGACCTAGTTACTTATCCAAATCCCAAACCTCTCAAGATGGCTACTTCCCAGCGCGGAACAAGCCACGCCTAGTGGCCCCCAGCGGGAAAGAAGTTTCTTGGGTGAGATCTTCGTACACCGCCGGAGGTGAGGTCACGTCTTTGGTAGACGGTACCGTTGGCGGCGACTGTGGGCACAGCAGGAGCTGCGTCGGTCGAAGAAGAAGCTGCAGGAGCAGCGTAACCGGAGACAGTCTTCAGGGTTGGGATGGCGACGGGGTTTGTCGCTGCGGAGGTAGAGGTGGAGTAGGCTGCTGGCGAGGAAGGTGCCGCGGAAGAAGGAGGGGAGTAGGCTGATGGCGCTGAGGAAGCGACAGCAGAGGTTGATGCGGATGCGGATGCAGATGAGGAAGCGTAAGCCGAAGGGGAAGTGGCTTGGCTGACTGGCATTGTCGAAGTCAGAGTGACGACTGTGACAATGGTCGTGAGCTGTCCAGGACCAGAAGTAGTATCAGCGTCGGCCGCAGAGGTAGTAGCGGTTATAGATCCGCCTCCGTATGCAGATGGTGCATCAGTCGGAGCAGGAGCAGCACCAGTGTTTGGTGGCTGGCTCCAAGGAGCTCGACTTGGCACTGGCATATCAGCAGCCTTGAAAGCAGCCGCCCAGGCATTCTCTGCGCCACTGGTGTAACTTGCTGCGGCCTCATCCCAGGTCTTGGACCAAGCGCTCGCAGCGGCTGTACCAAAGGAGCTGATGACTTGACAGGTGTTTGGTACATACACCTCTGGCCAGAGGCCAAGGCTGTTGGCCGAGATGACAGTGGCTTGAGCATTGCAAGAGCTGACGAAAGCGGTATCGATGCTTGCAGTGGCGTCTCGCTTGCTGTTCTTGTCTGCTGGGATGTATGAAGGTGCGGTCATGTAGGCAGTGCGGTTCTTGTAGTTGGGAACGGCAGCAGTCTGTGGGTTGGATTCAGCGACTGGGGCCGCTCCGACGGGCTCTGCGGCAGCCATTTTGACCATCTCAGACTTTTCAACAACGTCAAAATCGGCACAGGTGGTGTAGTACTCGTCTTTGCCGGCGGGAGTATTGCAGTCGCGGTTGGACTCGGTGCCGAAATCCCAGACCCAGTAGGTTGTCAATGTGCCAGGAGCGACGTTCTCTGGGATGAGGACATCGTTCTCGCACCAAGACTCAACTGTGGAGGTTGGCTGACCGGCGACGTGGTTAGGTTGGAGGATTTGTCGCTCCTGGGAGATGCTGCCGCAGTTGATCTGGTGGCATCTGCCATCGTCAAAGTTTTGAGCAGCCATCAACCAGCCATTGCCGTTGCCACCCTTGCCGTCTCTGGTCCACTGCATGACATCTCCAATCTTCTCTTCAGCGGAAGGCTTGGTGGTGCCAAAGACGAAGACAGAACCACCGCCATACGGCTTGCCGGTAATGTTCCATGGAAGGGAGACGTGGCCATTCTCGAGATACTTCATGGCAACATAGTCACCAGGAGAGACCTTGAGCTTGGGGAAGGTGGTCGTGTAGTTCGATGTCCTTTGCGCAGGGTGGCAAACCAAGTCGGTATCGTCAATTCGGTTGCGGACTGTACCATCAGAGTTGCGAGCCTCCAGCGAAGGAAGCATCCACATCAAAGAGAAGCCGTTGTAGGTAGGGTCTGTTCGAGAAACGTAGCCTCGCGAGTATCCGCGTGGGCCGGTGAAGGTACCATTGTCGGAGATGGCCTGGTATTCCTCCACCCAGGAGTGGGCTGCCGCGAGTGGAGAGAGGATGGCGAATGCCAAGAGTGCGAAGAGCATGTTGAGAGGTGTCGAGCAACTGGTGGTAGAGGATCGAAGCTGCATGTTTGTGTCTGTGGGAGTTTGCTTGTGCGGTGGTAGTGCGACGAAGGAAGTCCTGCTTCGAGATTGCGTTGCGCTCACTTTTGTAGCGTTGGGTGATTGTCGTGAAGGAAGGTTGGTGACACTCGAGAGATCGGGCCTGCCGAATTGTATGCCGCTTGTTGTAATGAAGGATAGTGAAGAGCGGTTTTCGAATCTGCTAAAGTGCACGACGGGTGGAATGATGCGGGAGGGGGACGATAATCTTATACGAGGAGCGCAACAATGGAGGCGGCCAGCGCTATTGTCGAGGGTGAAAGAAAGGTGCAGAACAATAGGCGTCGCAACAATGAGAAGGCTATGTACAAGAAAGAAGGCCAGCCATTGTGCAGAGAAAGTGACGCGCTATCGACACGGGGAGGAGGTCAAAGAAACTTCACTGGCGACTCTACTTCTCTTTTGAGGCGTGAGGGCGTATTCACGACGCGTCACGTGGGAGTGTCTCGAGATGTGCGACTGTGCTCTGGTCGCGCCGACGTGTGGATCTTGGTAGATTGGGGCGAAACGGAGTCCAAGACGACGAGAAGGCATCGGATGGCGCATAGCGCACTGACGGCTGCCGCGTGAAGTTCTGGTCGGCCAAGATGCGGTCTAGCACAGTCGAGAATAGAGTGTCGCGGGCAGGTCGACGCGCTTGCGTGAGAGCATCGCGCAAGGAAGAGAAACGTATGGAGTCGAAGGACCGGGTTGAGGCCATATTTTCAGCATCGCGAAGTGGTCAGTGTGCATCGTGGGCCAATGGAGGCAGTTGACGTTGCCGCTTGTGAAATGTCTTCTTTTCGTGTGTCGAACAATAGCACGCTTGGTTGTGTTTCACTTCGTAGATGTGTCGCGAATTACCGCGCTGTGATTGGACGACGGCAGTCTTGCGCAAGCGCCGAAGCTTATTTCGGAAACGTGGACGCACAGACGAAATGTGTGCCCGCATACATATGTCGCCAGTATCGCCCATAGACTTGCTCAGGATATCAGTCCGGTACTCGACGTGATGCATCCGGAGATCCTGATTGATAGATACTGGTTGTTGTGAAGTCCCAAGTCTGGAGTCGTATGCACGCGAAGGCCTTGGCATGCTCTATGCACCACAGTCGACCATGAGCTGTGTGCGAAGCTGTCAAGCTCTGTGCAACGTTCCATGGACACGCAACTTCCTCTCATGATCACTGACTTCGAGCCGTAACCACTTGTCGTCTCGCCAGTCGAAGCATCTCATTTGGCACGAGAGCAGGTTCCCCCAGGAGGAGCATCTTGCCAACGATCCTGTACTCCCCGTAATCACTTTCATCTTTCGGTCGCAAGACCCATACTCTGAACATTTGACAACTCGTCCCAATAAGATCGGTCGGTATAGCCAGTCGGAGCTTGTCTGCCTCAATACCTTCCATAGTGCGTAGCATGATGCCGCTTGCGAGTGCATAGTCGTCCTTTGCGCAAGGGATACGTAGACAAAAGGCAGAAATGTAGTAAATTGACCTCGGATCCGTGAGCCATGTGAGGAAGAGCAGTACAATTTCAAATAGCGGGTGTTCCTTCCCAGTCTGCTTTGCGTTGCTTGCCAGGAGTTCCACCAACCGCTCTGCGTAAGGTCTCAGTGTTTCGTTCGATTCGAATCGATGGAACATGGCCTGGTTGTATGATTCGTGCACCACTTCACGCTCCAACTGCTTCCAGAGCCGGACGATGAAGTCGAGACCACAGTTGCACGCCTGCGCGAGGAAGGTACGTCGAGGAGTGTCCCACAATGTATCATCGTACACCTGCATCGAGCGCGATAAGCCGTCTCGATATGTTGGAGGTGTAGTCGCAATAGGGTTTTCAGGGAAGATTTCGAAGGCCCACTGCACTTCCTTAGACGAGACCGACAGTGACGGGCTCTCAAAGAAGAGGAGGTCAAGTTCGATCGCTTTTGGTGTGACCGAGTGGATACCAGTAATTCCGTCGAGCACGAAGCTCGGGACGCTGAAGTCGAATTCGGCAACTTGTGCAGACAACCAGGATTCTTCGCCGTCTATCGTCAGCATCTTATCTCTCATGAGAGTCAAAGGACTCTTTTCGCCAGCAGACAAGGCTAGCGTGGTGATCATGAAGGCTACCTCCTCTCGTGTCAATTGCGCCTTGCCGGTGTAGTATAGAGCCAGACCGCTGAGATTGAGAGCAATCTGGATCAGGTCTGTGGTAAGAGTGGACCGGGTGTCGTTGATGACATACAGGCGGGCCATGATGCTGGATCTTTTACTCCCTGCTCGGCGGTCGTGTCCATCTCCATGGCGCGAGATGCGATTGTCCGCGATGGACCAGCGAGAATCGCCTCTCAACTCTTCCGTGCTGTGGACTTCTTCTGTGGCGGTATGACCCGCGGCTATGGCGCGTATGAAAAGTAGTTGCAGCCACTTGATCTTGAACGTGCCGCGAGTCGGGTTTCGCACAACAAAAGTAGCACAATGAGCATAGAAGCTGCATCGCAGATCATTCCATGGCTCGTTGACCTCAAACTCGTGCCAGCACCAGGATCTTCCCCACCATCGTGATGCCTCGACTTTGCGCCAGACACGAGTCAGGAGCGGTAAATCTGTATCTTTGACTGTATGACCAAGTCCTTGGACGCCCGAGACAATCTGGTCATGGTCGATACAGTTGACGATTGCCATTTCCTCATCCGAGAACATCACATCTTCGAGCAGAATGATAAGTTTGCGGCAACTCTTGTAGACGACATCCATCATGGCGATGCTGCCCTGCTTCTCGTTCTCGTTTGTCTGGTCGATGCATATGGCATCTACAAAGATGCATTCTCGTCTGTACGCCACGTTCCTCCCATCTTCGCTGTCCACTCCTCTCTCGTTCAGTATGGCATCAACGAAGGGCTTACTGAAAGGCCACGGCGAATGAGTGGTAGACCGATCATCTGGCCAGGCGTTGTCCTCGTGGCGCCAGCAGTAGCTCACAGCCAGGTATTGTCTCACAGGCTGGCCTGGCGCGAATGGGAAATTGCCATCGTCGCCTGCGCAGATTATCCTGAAAGGCGTGTCGTAGATCTGGGCCGGTGTGCGGAGGCTGAAATGGGTTGCAAGCTCAGGAGCGATCCGAGTGAGGTTCTTTAGGATAAGAGAGGCTTCCTCCTGACTATGAGCAAGAGCAGTAACAGCTTTCCGAAAGAGGTCTTCTCTGTTTTGTTCGCTGGTCGTGATGAGCCAAATGTCAGTGGCAAGCTGCTGTGCTTCGAGAGTGGCCTGCTTGTTCTCGTCAGTAGAGGCCATCAGTACTTGCCTTCGCCGAGTGTTTTATCGTGGACGGAACAAGAAGCGCAGGAGGCTAGCATATTTCAGCTCATCCGACCTCGCATAGGACGGTAGTGGAGAACGCAGGCCTGGCTAGCTTTGACGCGCGCCATCTCCAAGAGTTGCTCAAGAGCATCGCAGGGTCGCGATGAAGAGACGTCTTGTCACAGCTTCGTTGTCGAATTTGTGAGTGTATGCTGTTTGATATCGCGCCGCGCAATGTGTTCGACTGGAGGGAAGGGGAGGTTGCGAGCGGAAATGGCAGCGGCGTCTCGGAGAGTTCGGAAGCCGGCCTCCGTTCCCGACTCCAGGTCCAAGTGGAGGGAAGAAGGATAACATCCTGCAACGGTGAGCCAACAAAGATGAGAGTCGGTCTGTTGAGGTTGCATTTGCATTGGTCCTTCTCCAAAACGTACTGTTGTTGTTGTCCCAGAGTGTTTGAGTTGCGAGAGGCCCAGAAATCATCCCATAGTCAAACAATTGGGCCCCACCTTCGAAATTTCTGATTTTTGCTCATTTCGCAGGCGTCTTCTACAGTTTACCTCTTCCCATCTTCATCAAACCAACCAGGCGAGGTGGCCGAGTGGTTATGGCGCTAGTTTCAGGCTCTGAAAAGAGTGCCGAAGTGTACATCCTACATTACTAGTGGGTAATTCGTAAGTTCATCATCACGATCAACTCTTCGAAATACGGCTTGCTAACGCAAGTACAGCGCGTGGGTTCGAGTCCCACCCTCGTCAACACCCTCTAGGGCGTCTAAGACGTCCAGACAATCTTTTTTGAGCTTTTTAGGGATGTTCTGGTCATGAGGTGAAGTCAGTACGACAGGTGAACGTGACTTTTTTTTTGGCAGTTCTGGGGCCTCAATAACGACAGTAGCGGCAGCGTATGACTTTAACAGAGCACCACATGCTACGATACGAGTTTGGAAGGCAAGGCAGGAACATGGCGGCGAGCAATGGTGAAAAGAGATGTTGGTCGTTCAGGTGAAGCCCATGCTCAGACAAAGGAATTTGCCTGTGATGGTCTGCAGCTCACTTCTTCAGCTATCCCGACGATGGCAGCTGCCTGTCCTGTGTATCAGCAAAAGAGAAGCAGCGAAGCTATCCAACTTTTTGTCTGGCGATTCTGCAAGTCTTTCATCGTGAGGCAATGCCGTGATCAGAGGTATATACGGTTCTGTTCGGAATCGTGGGATTCGTCTCATCCTCGTTGTGCTTTAGCACTATCGTTGGAGGCTTCCCATTGATCGGGAGGAATGCCACGTACATAGTAGATCGGAGCAGCTGCAAGCCAGTGTACTGGAACTATGAAGTAGTGACTTCTTGAAACATTGAAAATCAGAAGATCGCAAGCACGTCTTCTTGCTCACCATCCACTGGCCGCACCGCACCGATGGCACACGGAAGATCTTCGACTCCACCGTATCGGAAGTAGCTCCTTTGCCAGCTCTTGCTGCATGCACAGCACATGCGCGAATCCTGATGGAAGCTGCCATCATCAATGGACTTCCGTATGTAGTATACTGCGGTCAGCCTGGTGGTACAATCGCGTAATGGTGGTGTCCTGAAGTCCTTCATTTTGGTTGTTGCTGTGGAGGAGAGTCCGAGCTGCGCGCGGAAAGTTGACGAAGCTCGCCTGCTCGGCCAACCCCGACAGCGTTCCACGACAGTTGCCAGGGCACGTTTGACCACAAATTTTCCCTTTCCTCCACTCCACTCCACCTCTCTTCGCATCCATCTCCATCGTAGCCACTCTCGGCGGCCTCGAGCAGAGGCTGGTCCAGCTGCTCGGCAATTTAGACCAGCCCCAAGCAATGCAGGTAGGCGACCAGGCGCTTATCGGTTCGCATGACCCAGCAGAACTCGCTCTTATCGGACTGGCTTGCCATGTCTTTTCTCTTCAATTTTCCTTTGTGCCGTGACTGACGGAAGTCTTTGTACTCACCCTCACCACTATAGCTTGTACAGCACATACGAATCCCGCACGCTCGGGAACACTACGGTACTCCAGGCAGTTCATCGCGTCATCCCAGCATAGCTGCACGCAGCGGGGCACATCACGAGGTGCATTGCATTCAGGAACAGGAAGAGAAGCTAGGCGGAGAAGTGAGACAGGCGCATCTCATATACCGCCTAGTGCCTCCGCCTCCGAGGCTGACCTACTGCCATGGCGCTTTACGAGCGTCGCTCCTCCTTCGAGGACTTGAGTCGATGGCGAACACAATCTCCCACGGGATCCGAAAGACGAAAGCTTACCTTCAATCCTGTCGGCGAATGGACAGACCCGGCTGTACAATATGATCCTCCGGTAGCAGCGGTCGAGGTCAGCAAGGGAAAGAGGATAGCACAGGTGGCTGTGGCTGTGGTATACTGCTTGTTCGCTGCCGGCATTGTCTTTGGCTTCGCGGCGATCAAGCCCGTGTTCATTGAAGAGGGGGTATACAAAGATCAGTGCACAGAAGCCGAACTTCGGAAAGGTGATGGCGTATGCTATGGACAAGAAATCCGGCTGAACTTGATGTTCACGGTCGCCGCTGTGAGCACCAATGTTTGTGCTCTTCCAGTAGGGACAATTCTTGATCGATTTGGTCCACGCATCGCCAGTATCATTGGCTGTGTCTTCTTGTTTGTCGGAGCACTGTTCCTTGCATTTGCATCAGACCTCTATCATGCATTCGACGCATATATCCCCGGTTACCTGTTCCTGGCTCTAGGAGGACCATTCGTGTTCATCTCGTCCTTCCAGCTCAGCAATACCTTCCCACAGCATTCGGGACTCATCCTTGCCCTCCTCACAGGCGCCTTCGACACGAGCAGCGCGGTCTTCCTTGTCTACCGCCTCCTCTTTCAACACACGAATGGCTCGTTCAACACCAAGAGGTTCTTCCTCATGTACTTGGCTGTTCCGATCCTGATCCTGATCTCCCAGTTCACAATCATGCCAGGCAAGTCTTACAAGACCGTCGGTGAACTTGTCGAGCAGGCAGAGGAGCCTGCCACAGCAGACACCCATGACTCCGACTCCGATATCTCCGACCACGAAACCCGTCTAGATATCCAAACGACCCGCCGCTCCAATCGCGAAGCCGCCGCAACAGAGATCGAAACACTCTTGGGCTCGAAGACAGCCGAACAGAAGACCCAGCAAGAAGAAGCCAAAGCCCGCACATCAGGCGTCTTCGGCGCAATGCACCACGCCACCGTCCTCGAACAAATCCTCTCTCCATGGTGGGTCCTCATCACGCTCTTCACCGTCCTGCAAATGCTGCGTATCAACTACTTCGTCGCCACGATCCGCACCCAGTACACCGAGATGTTCCATTCGCCCGCCAAAGCAATTCAGGTGAACAACTTCTTCGATGTTGCACTTCCTCTCGGCGGCGTGGTATCTGTGCCCTTCATCGGCTACGTCCTCGATCACACGTCAACTACATTCGTCCTCGGACTCCTCGTCACTATCGCCACGACAATCGGAATCTTTGGTCTCATCCCGGACATGTGGGCGGCGTACGCGAACGTGATCCTATTCGTCATTTATCGACCTTTGTACTACACCGCTGTCTCGGACTACAGTGCCAAAGTCTTTGGCTTCCAGACTTTTGGCAAGGTGTATGGTTTGATAATCTGTCTCGCCGGGCTTTGCAATTTTTCCCAAGCCGGGCTGGATGCTCTGACGCACGTGAAGTTTGGAAATGATCCACGGCCTGTGAACGCGATTCTTTTGGGTGCTGCGGCCCTTGTTGGTGTCGCTCTTGTGGGATATGTGGGTTGGCAGAGCGTGGTGTTGAGGAAAGAGGATGAAGAGGCGGAAGGGAGGAAGGCGGAAGAGGAAAGAGAGGGGTTGTTGCGAGGACGAAGGAGTGGAGATGCAAACGGCAATGGACATCAGAACGGCAATGGCGCTACTTATGGAGGTACTTGATCTTGAGAAGAGGAGGTAATTTGAGAGTTTGTTCGTATTGCCGGCATGTGTGGCGAGGTGGAGGCGGTTGCATTCATGGCAGGAAAAAAGCATGGCGCTGGTGGTGACTTCTTTACAATTTTTCTGTATATCGCAATCGCATTGTTCATATAATGTGCATAACGACTTCTGTACATCTTTTCTGCTTGCCACTTGTTCCAGTCTCGCAGCTTCGCAGCAAGGGTTCGGGCGATCTTCGGCCAATTCTTAGGGTTTCTTCGAACTTTAGTCCTGGGACGACGACGACGTCGCCTTCTTGGCTCCGTACGTGTCCATGTCAAGGGTACAGTCTCCAGTCTAGTATGGCATAATGTTTGAGAAGCTATGGCTCATTTAGTCAAGCCAGTGTTGTACGACGTGAAACTCATCGAATTATGGGTTTTCTCGAAAATGCCAATATCTGAGAAGTTGACAGGGAGACTACCGTAGTGTCACCCACATCCTGACCTTCGATCAGCACAAAACAGCGAAAAGACGTCCGATGGACTACTCAAAGGACACAACCCCTCTGCAAGTGCTCATGGTGAACATCTACGAGCACAGCGTGAAGGCCGCAGTTACGGCACCGATTGATACCCAGCAAAGCTCCAGGCACGTTGCACACATCGCGGTCCATTACTTTTGATTAGTTGCTATGTCGTCAAAGTGCTACATCCTAAGCCGCCTTCCACTCGTAATGGTGCTTTCCGATCGTTGGCAAGCCCTGCTCATCCTTCCCTTTGATATCAAACATATGTCGCCCAAAATAGTCCAGCTCGGCCTCCTGGAAGCTTGTTGGTAGATCTACACTCGTCATCATCTTCAGATACTCCAGCGTTGAGCTCAGCGCCGGAACGACATGGTCGTTCTCCGTCGCGGCGAGGATAACTCTCTTGAGTGGGGCGAAGGTCTTCTTCAGATCGGCGGCGACAGAGGGGACAGAGAGAGGATTCATCTCTTCATGATTCGAGATGGAAGAGACAGAGGAGTAGGTCTTGTAGTGTGGAAGGAGGAGTTTGGAGGAGATATAGTCGGCTTGGATGATGCATCCTGCACGCCAGATCTGGATGAGAGAGTGGTAGTCGATGTTGAAGTGGTTCTCCTTGTCTGCTGTCGCGATGATGTTCATGCCCTGGCAGTAAGATGCAAGGCAAGCGCCGTAGGTCGCAAGGCGGAGGTCTTCAACGAACGCTTTCTTGTCCTTGATGGTTTTGAGAGGTTGAGGAGGGAAGTTCCCGCCAAATGTCTTGTTGACGACACGCCGTTGGTGCAGATCCGCCGATGCGAGACGGAGATAATGAGCAGTCGTCAGAGTCGGAGCGGGAATATGCAAGTCAACAGCTTGCGTGTTTGACCAGATGCCCGTTCCTTCTTCGCCACATACGTCTTGCACGACTTTGTCTTCTACAGTATCGAGCACGCGTTCGCCTTTCTCATTCTTGGTCTTGCAAATTTCCGCTCCGATGCGAACGAGGAATGTGCCTTGAAGCTCGCCATATTTGTTCCATTGGGCAAAGATATCGCCAATTTCATCTTGGGATAAGTCGAGGCCTTTGGTCATGAGGCTCCAAGTCTCGCAGATTGCGGACATCATGCCGTGCTCAATTCCATTGTGAATCATCTTGCAGTAGTGACCTGCACCACCAGTTCCAATACGAGCAACACATGGTGTTCCATCGGGAGCTTTGGCAGCAACCTTTTGTAGCAGTGGTAGGACAATGTCAAAGGTGGATGTATCTGTGCCGGGACACATTGAAGGGCCTCGACGCGCAGCTTGGTAGCCTCCACTGACGCCGCAGCCCACGTAGCGGATGCCCTTGGGGGCGCTCTTGGCGATTCGACGCTCCGTATTCTGCCAGTTCTCATTGGCACAGTCGATGATGATATCGTCTTTTCGAAGGTAGGGCATCAATCCATCGAGCACTGTGTCGCCAACATAACCGTGAGGCAAAGACCAAACGAAGACCTTCCTCTGATCTCCAAAAGCCTTGCACATTTCCTCATCACTCTGAGACTTGGAGATCTTGTTGCCGACGTTGTCTTTCTTCGCTGCGTCCAAAACTTTGTCCATGGCTTCGTTGGAAGGATCTCGAAGGACGACATCACAGCCATGCTCAGCGAAGAGAAGAGCCATGCCGCCGCCCATGGCTCCGCAGCCGATCATGGCGAGCTTCTGAATTTCAGCATGTTGTCCGTTGATGCCGTTTGTGGACGTCATGTCGATGTTGCCAGAGTTAGTGTCAGGCTAGAGGTATGTCGTGATTGAATTGAGGATTTCGGCGGGAAGGTCAACGTTGTAGGGAATCTTGAACAACCTTTCATCTCGAATAAGCAGTCCAGACTATGATGCAGTGTTACCTACCCAAGCTCCGTCAAGCTTCGCACATGCATTGTGGATCATCGTGATGTCAAGCGGCAAGCGCGTCCGTAAATCCACGGAACAACCGCGGATGCACGTGATGCACTCCAGCTCTCAGTCCCGCGATAGTTGATTATGCTGAGAAGGCCACAGATCTGGGCCGAGTGTGCAGCTCTGAGCTCTGAGGTCTGGCTGCAGCTCGGAAGTCACCGCATGCTATCATCGATCGGAGCTGCAGCACGATCTGTTGACGTCTCTGGAGAAGTCCAGTCCAGCTGTCGCTCCTCTAGAGCACAAGGGCCTGCAGCAAGCGTCTTCCGTGTAGAGACAGCGCCGGATGGTCGACTCGTTTCCAGGGCCCAGTAGGTTTCAATGAAGGGTCGTAGACTTGGACGCCTCCGCGTCGTGGTTCTGAATGGGATTGCTGGGACTTCGGTCTTCGCACACCTGCAAACATTAGCTGCCGCTCCCCAAGAATCTGATCTGTAGTAGAACACACTCTCTGAACCCACAATGCCTTGCAAGACGGCTGGAAAAGAAGAGAAACATGATGCATTGTCGGGTATCTTCACTCATCCTCATCATCGTAATTGATGTCCTCGCTCCCACTGTCATCTCCTTCTTCCTCGTCCTCGCCATCGTCGTGTCCATTAACTTCACTCCAAGCCTGACTCTCTTCCAACGGCATAGGTTCCACGGTGCTCAGCGGAATCTCGTTCTCCTCCTCTTCTTCTTCCTCCTGCTTCTCGTTGTCCAGATCAAACATTACACTTTTCCTCCTGCTAGGCGGCCGACTCTCTGCCGCTCCTGTGCTCTGTGTTAACCTCCTTGACCTCTTCTCAATCAGAACGTCTCCGTTCCATGGTCTGCATTCCTTGACCGTCTCTCCACATCGCAAACAAATGAAACCTTCACCTTCTTCCGCCTCGATGCGTTGGGCCAGGCAGACGAAACAGTAGACACAGCCGCAAGGGTCCGCTTCGTAAGGATTCGTGATATCGGTCGTGGAACTTCCAATAATGCCGCTATTTGCAGCTGCGCTACTGGCCATGATCTCCTGCTCTGACTGTCCCCCTGTTGGGTTCTGATCTTGGTAGCATATCGCGCATGTCCGCTCGGGTAGGTAGGCCAACTCGCCCTTTGGTATGTCATCCTCCTCATCCTCTCCGTCATACGTGGGTTTTGTGCTAAAGATCTGCTTCGTCGTGCTCTTGGTCTTCTTCCATGCTCGTGCTAGCCAGCGCTTCCAACGCGATATGCCAACCAATGGGAGAATGAAGAGAAGAAATTCGGTGAAGGCGTGCCAGACTAGTTGGCGATTGAGAAATTCGAAGGAGACTTCGCGTGAGGTTTGGTTGGATGCGGGAACGAGACGGAGTCGGAGGAGACGGTCGGTAAGTGTTCGGTAGTGACCATTGTAGAGGAAGACGAGAAATGAGCAGAATGCGGCGATGTTGTGAGATGTGCTCGCGAATGTGGTGAATCGGGACAGTCGTCGGATCAGTGGTGAGGGTTCATCGTAGCCATTCTCCAGCGAACTGAGCCGGTCTTCCCATCTGCTCCAGCCATAGCGTCCACCCACTGTCAGAAGACCATACACCACTCTCTGCCAAGTTGTCGCTTCCTTGCGCGTGAAATTGGGATCCGGGTTTCCGCGTGCGTCAATGTATTTCAGACCCTGCAAGCTCGCTCCGTACGACTGTCCGTGATCGTAGATGCTCAGCTTCCACATGACCGCGCGAAGAGCAGCGGTGATCTCCAAGTCGTAGTCATCTTTGAGGTGTGCGCCAAAGTATTTCAATCCCTCCCCCGCCTGCTTCTTCAATAATCCCAGCAATGCTTCGTCGAGGAGTTCGGCGTCGACTTGGCCCACGCGAAATGCTGGTCGCGTGCCATAAGGAGATCGGATGTTGTCCCAAAAGGAAATCAAGTCGAATGCATATGTCCGTAGTGTCGGTGGGAGTTGTGTCAACTGGGCAGCTCGTACTTCGCGCTGTGCGCTTTCGGCAGCGTTCAGCGCTTCTGCTCGTGCCAGACGGCGTTCCTGGATGCGCTTCTGCGCTGCCGCAAAGTCTGCCATGAACGGAGCATCGGCGGTAGCATAGAGAGCGTCCAATATGAGTCGTGTCGTGTCAATGTTTGGGAGATGAGTGAGCGCAGAAACACGCGAGCCGAGGTTCCCATCGGCCGGAACCGGACCCACTTTCCGTGTGTGCTGGGTTTGGTGAACTTTCACCTACACTTTCGTTAGCAATTGCCTCCACTTCTTCCTCATAATGGCAATGATCGATTCCAGCAGGAGAGCATGAAGCGAGAGAGTATCCTGATGGCCAAGAACGCAACGTGATGACGATCCCAAGGACCGACCGAGATCAGCTACGCTTCCATCAGAACTGGTCAGCTCAGAAACGCCGTCCTGAATCCCGTGAGCATGGCACAGTGCCCTTTGCCAGGAGACCTCAGACACGGTCATTAGGTTGCTTGACTTCTTATCAGATCCAAGACGAGCTTCTGATCGTGGCATGCTCACTGGTAGTCGATCGGAAGACTGAGGCATGCTTTCCGGCTTCTGGCCATGCGTTGTTCCCGCTTCCCAGCCCTGCAGCCAGTCCTTCGCATTGTATAGAGATCTTGTATGGAGGCATTGTATCCCCACAAATCTTGTCTCTGTCCTTCGTCACAAAATCAAAGGCTCAGCATCCATTCACTCAGTACCCTTGCTCTTGATGCAGTGTTCGAGATAACAAATAGAGGGTTGCCATTCCTCCATATACTGATAGTCTTCCAGCCTACCCCTCGAAGGAACTTGCGACACCAGGAAATTGCTCAACGATTCCGAGCTACAGCTGGCCAGAATCGACGGAAATCCTGAGCCGCTCCTAGTAGTTCGACTTCCCAGCATGTTCTGGTCATATATCTCCAGCGTCCAGGCCCAGAAGTATTCGAGCTCAGACGGATGCCAGATGTCTCAGTCCTCGTCCTCGGTCCAGAAGCACACTCTCTCTTCATGCTCTCCCTGCAAGAAGTCAATGCAAACAAGTGATGAGAGACATACCTAATCCGGCCCCTCAATGACCGGCCACTCCCTCCGGCCAAGGATGGCGATGCCCCAAGGGCGGCGTTCCGGCATCGCTGGATCCGGGATGCAACCTCCCCCAATCCACAAAGACGTCGATCCAGCCTCGCAGACGGTACTTGTGTATAAAACGATATCGTCCGTTCCCAGGACATCCATATGTCTGCCTGGAGCAGGTCTCACCACATCTAGGGGACGGAGGAGGTGCAAGATTGCGTGGATCCAGTGCGGCATTGCCGCCCTGGGAGGGCCATCTGTCTCTCCGCTGGATCACTGTTAGCTTTGACTAGGTCGTACGGAAGTAAGTTGACTGGGAGCTTACAGCGAGATGAGAGAGGTGGCGGAGGAGGAGGGGGTGAGGGTGGGTCTGAGCGAATGTTAGCATGGCTCTTTTACCGTCTCTCGCTCAACATGAGCTGACGAGTGGTTGTGCTGGTTGACAATGGCCGCGCTTTGACGAACACGCCTGGACAGAGAGAGCAGGCTGAGGCACTGATTTTGACCAAGTCCTCAGAAGCCCTGCTTTCTCCGACTAGCGGACAAAGGCTCTCATGTTGCCACTCTTGCTCGTCGAGGCGCGCATGCCACCCAGTGGACAGAGTCAGGGGTGAGGTGAAAACTTACGCCAACTCGGCTGGTGGTGTGGTGGGCCTGCACAGATCACTCAAGTCAGCGCGCCATGCTATGCATTAACAAATCAGTGGCTTACTCGAGGCGGAGAGCCAACGTCTCCCAACGATCCTCCCAGACGTGCACGATGAGTGCCATTGTTGTTGCTTTTGCTGGATGGACTGTCGTTGGCGTGGTGGTGAAGCGAGCGGCGGAGAACAACAGGGGATCGGAGCGGCACAGCCACAAGTGAAACTTGCATGCGGTGCGGCGATGCTGCCGTTGTGAGCTACGTTTTGCAGCAGCGGATGTGAAGAACTCCCAAGACAGACGATTGAATGCGTCGCGGCACCGCTCTCTGTTACCTACGCTATTTAGATCGATGATGCGCGACGGTGTTCACTGCCGCAGCAACGCACCTGTCGATTGGGAACAGCGTCCGCACTCGTCGTATTGCCGTGTTGTATGCTGTTGATCGCGAGCTCCGGCAGATATCAGTGGATGGCCGCTGAGGTTAAGCTTGCTACTTCACTTGTCTCTCAACAGGCAAGAGCGAGATCAAGGTCCAGAAACGGCGAAAGGATGTCTACGCTAGCGTACTGGTCGATGTCAAGTCGGAACATTAAGAGGCGAGTCGTTTGGAGATTTGCTAGCAATACTGGGCACCAAATAACAAACAGCAAGAATCGATGTTAAATTTCCGCTTGAGAGGTGACGAGACCTTTGCAATCATCTCATTGGACGAGACATAGTACCAAGTCCTCCATGCCATGATTGAACCACGTCTCTGCGCATCGCCTCCCGAGGACCTTTCGGGCTTACTTCAGCATCGTTGATACCGATCCGCGCCAATTCTGATAGCTGTTGCGATTGTGATTCCCAACACGTGTATCGATTCAGATGACATGCTCGTGGCCGGCCATGCCGTGAATTGTCAGTGCATAGCGCAGTCTCCCACCTTGGCTCTCTTCTCTCCTGCTTCGGCGAGAAGTACTACAACATCGATTGATCGATGTAGAGGCAGGTCCTCTCAGCAGCTCTTTACTACTGGAAAGACCCATACTGCGTATAGTTTTCAGTCAAAAAGGACTCTCGCTAAGACCGCGAAGCTACGGGTTGCTGAAAAAACGTTGAATTGTTCGCGCTTTTCGGCATCTCGGGTGTAGAGAAGGCTTGATGCTGCGAACTTGGGATAGCTGAAAGTCCGGATATTGTGCCTGACTGCGGTGAAGATCGACTCTCTCGCGAAGAAAGCAAAGCTGAAAATCGAGGTACTTGGCGATCGACGTGCTTCCTCCAGCGTCTTGCGACTGAGAAAGGTTCTGAGGCTGCCAGGGCCTCACGGCTGGAACTGCTGATTTTGCATCTGACTGCGGTCGTTAGACTGTACATTTCGCCAGTACCACAAAGCTGAAGCCCATGGAATATGATTATTGGATGGCCTGCTTCAGCATCTTGCGCTTGAGAAGAGATTGGACGCTGGGGGTTCATGGCTGCTTGGAGTCGCAATTTTGCAGATGTCTTTCATCGAAAACTGGCTCCCGCCAGGATCGCAAAGCCACAGTTCGTCGAAAGAGTTGGTTCGTCGGCATCCAGTGTCGTCCTGCGATTGAGAAGAGATTCTGTTGATCTGCGATGGCAAGATCCCGAACGCTGAGAGCGACGATTTTGCAAATCTTCGGGCCAAGAACTTGATCTCTCGCCAATGTTCCAATGTGGAAGTTCAACCATTGTGTGAATTAGTTGGCACTCATCGTCATCCTGCCACTGAGAACAGCTCTTCTGGATCCTTGGAAGACTGACTCTTTGAATCATTTCGTCAGAGAACGGGATCACTCGTCAGAACTGCAAACACAAGATTTGAGGTTTGTCTTCGTCGATTGGCACTCCATATCGATCTGTGACTGAGAAAGGGACCTGCGTATGCTCAAAGGACTGCCTTTTTGTAGAGTCCTGGCAGAGAAATGGATGCCTCGCCGCGGTCGCAAAACTGAAACCCGAGGATTGTGTTCATCAGTTGGCTCTCCTTGTCTTCCCACGGCTGAGAAAGGCTTCTCTGAACCACTTTAAGGTCCGACTTTGCGTATGATTCGTGTAGGAAGCGCCATATCTCGCAGAGATTGTGAAGCTGAAACTTGACGGTTGTGTTGGTTGATTGGTTTTCGCTGTGATCTCGCAGCCGAGAATGGCTCTTTTGAGTCCTTGGAATGACGATTCTGCGCAGCTTTCAGCTGAGGATTGGATGTCTCGGCGGGACTGTAGAGCTGGAACTTGAGCATTTTGTTGGTTGATCGGCTCCCTTGATCATCTCGTGACCGAGAAAAGCTGTCTGGACTGCTGCAAGGACGAATCTTGCGCATCATTCCGGTTGGATTTTGGGCTCAATGCCGTTGGGGATGGCTTCTGCGGCGGTTTCGCGGTACCGAACCGTCTGAAGCAACGACATGCCCAAGGTATCTCCATATCATGGAGGTCGTTGGCCTCCAATGCTTTTCTCTTCACGAGGCCTTTCATGGAAGCCTTCTCGCCGGAAACTCGCTTAGAGCAAGATTCCGCTGGCAGTATCTCAAGATTGTCCCGCTTGTTGGCTTGCAATGCTTTTTTCCCTTCACGATACCTTTCATGCAGCTCCATTGTCCGAAAACTCGCTTGAAGCAACGTTGTGCTCACGATATCCCCAGCTTGTCCAGCTTATTAGGCCACGATGCTCTTTCCTCCACCTGGCCCGCCATGCGACGCCAACCTCCGAGAACACGCTTGAAGCAATGCCATGCTCATGGTATCTCCAGGTTGTTAAGCTTGTTGGATCGCGATGCTTCATCCTCTACCTGGCCTTCGAACCAACTCTTCTGCCCGAGATCACGATCGAAGTAATGTCGTGCTCATGGTGACTCCAGATCTTCGAGGTTGTTGGCTTGCAATGCTTCCCGCTTCAGCTGGGCTTCTCCCTGTTCCTTTTGGCCGAGACTGCGGTCGAAGTAATGCCATGCTCATGATGACTCCGGATCTTCGAGGTGGTTGGTTTGCAATGCTTCCCGCTCCAGCTGGCCTTCTCTCCACTTCTTCTGCTCGAGACTGCGCTTGAAGCAATGCCATGCTGACGGTATCTCCAAGTCGTTAAGGTTGCCGGCTCGCACTGCCTTTTCCTTCACCTGACCTTCCATTCAACCCTGCTCCCTGAGAACGCGCCAAAGTGAAGCAATCTAATATACAACTTGCACTTCCGCTAGAGCCTCCGTGCCCAAGCAAAGCTGCCTCGACACAATGACCCCACGTAGAAGGCTGCACGGTTCAGGCACCTGGATAACACTATATCCAGGCTGCTTTACCCATCCCCGTACAAATTCGCGAAAAAACCCCACAAAACAAAAACGCCAAACGCCAAACGCCAGAACCCACCCCTCTTCTCTCTCATCCTCCTCCTCCACTCACGGCCACGGTATCACCTTCCGGCACCTCAGCTCGTACAGCCAGTCTCTGAAACTGCGTACCTCGTGGGTTTTTGGCCAGTAAACCCCGAGGCGACTCATCACTTCCTCCACCGCATCCACGTCCCTCCCCAGGCTGTCTTGATCGACTGCGCCAATGAGTGCCTCCATAGTGGAGGACTTCTCTTTCTCGCCAGGGGGAGGGGCGGGATAACCATTCGCGGTGTGAAACCTCACCATGAGGTTCGTGAGGCCATTCCTATCGGCCGAATAGGCCAAAAATCTGTCTGTCGCGACTCCACTTGAATGGAAGTCTGTGTAGTCGCCTGTAGATAGAAGAGCACCGTTAGTCAACGTGAAACGGAGAAACACGCGGATCATAAAGATGTGAAAGTTTACTTATTCATATTGAGTGACGAAGGGCGCTGACTCTCTGCAGAAGCATTTTGAGCTGTCCCCTGGAGCGTTTCATTTGTTGGCTCTCAGGTAGACGTGGGAAGAGAAAGAGACGGGAAACAGAGATATGGGTTTTCCGTCCAGGATAAATGGGCGTCCCAACTCCGACGAAGCGTCGTTGGCCAATCTCTGGATCGTTCCACCCGCTGGCTTTCAATGGTATATGAAAAGAGAAACAGATGGTACTTGAACGCCTTGGAAAGGAGGCGGCGTCAGGACTCTCGAGCTAGCATTGTCGTTTGCGCTTTGGGGTGTTGCATTCGTGGGCTTGCGAGTGAATATGGAAATAGGGAAAGACTGAAAGAAAAAAAAAGAAACAATGAAAGAAGAAATTCACTGAGAAGTAGAACAGTCAACTTACTTATTCTCATCTGCCCGAGGGCATTTTGAGGGTGAAAACCTCGCAAACAAACGAGGCTCAGTGCCTTATCGCCAATGAGAGCGAGCACTTGGTTGGGCCATTTGGCACCAAAGGAAGCGCCACAATATGTGAGCGCTGTTGTCAAAAGTTCTTCGTCCGTGAAATTGTATTCGAATCCATCGGAGAAGAGAAGGCGGGCACCGGCGTCACCCCAAACGGCATCGACCTGCAGCCGCGGACGGGGAGGGAGAGGCGTCTCTGGCGGGGCAGAAGCTGGCGGCGGAGGCGGAGGAGGATATGAGG